AACGCTGCCGGGCGAGACGTGGCACGAGGATGTGCGGCGCCTGGATGTGGTGACCGATGCAGGAGACCAGATTGCTGTACTCTACTGTGACCTGTTCTTCCGCAAGGACAAGTCACCCAACCCGGCGCACTTTACGGTGCGCTGCTCTCGCGAAATCTCCGAGAGCGAGGTCGAAGAGGCGGCGGCGGAGGTCGACGGCGGCGACGCGGGCCCACGCTTCGACTCGGCCGCCCAAGCCGCCAACGACGGCATGGAGAGCGCCACGCAGGGCGGCGTCTTCAAGCAGCTGCCGACGATCGCGCTGGTCTGCGACTTTCAGAAGCACGAAGACTGGAAGAGCCCGTCGCCGGCGCTGCTCACGTTCCACCAGGTCGAGACGCTGTTCCACGAGATGGGCCACGCGATCCACTCGATCCTCGCGCGCACGTCGCTGCAGAACGTGGCCGGCACGAGGTGTGCGACCGACTTTGCCGAGCTTCCCTCGACGCTGATGGAGCACTTTGCCGCGGACCCGACGGTGCTCGCCCTCTTCGCGCGCCACTGGCGCACCGACGAGCCCCTGCCCTACGCCATGATCGCCGAGCGCCTGCGCATGTCCAAGCGGTTCGAGGGCTTCGACACGGAGAACCAGATCCTCCTCGCCATGCTCGACCAGGCCTACCACGGGCCCGACGTGGCCGGCCCGGGCTTCGACTCGACGCGCGTCTACCACGGGCTGCAGAGCGCGTTCGCCGCCGGGCCCCCCGACCCGCCCGAGACGTGCTGGCAGGGCTTCTTCGGCCACCTGCACGGCTACGGCAGCACGTACTACAGCTACCTCTTTGACCGCGTGCTCGCCGAGCGCGTCTGGCGCGTCGTCTTCGCGGCGGGCGCCGACGGCAAGGCCGTCGACCGGGCCAGCGGTGAGCGGCTCAAGGAGAACCTCCTCAAGTGGGGCGGCAGCCGCGACGCGTGGCGCTGCCTGTCTGACACGCTGCAGGACGAGCGGCTGCAGGAGGGCGACGAGAAGGCCATGGCCATCGTCGGCAGCTGGGGCATCAAGGATGACCACCACGCGTGAGGGACCGGTGGGTGCCAGGTCGTGTCCACCGACAGAATAGACGACACATCTTGTACGATAGAAACACAGATTTGTACATTATCATTTGACGTGCGAGAAGTGAGTTTGTGACTGTCGTCTTGGGCAGGGGCCCACCCCTGCATGCATCAACGCCAGCACTTCGTCAGCTGACAAGCATACATCTTTTGCATGGACTCTCTCCAACGTGTCATAAGTCGACTAGCAGCCACACCATTCCTGTCCTCCGTCTTACCATCCCTGGGCAATGACAAACAGCCGCACAGGCCAACGAAACCCACCAGTAGTGGCGTTCCGGTGCCTCGGGTGTGTCGCGTGGCATCGCACTGGCACGGATAGACTGGGTGAAACCTTAAATCAACGTCAACCGTCCGACCTAGACACGAACGTACAGGGAATGCCCAGGAGTGCATCGCTCATGAGCCTAGTGAGGTGAAGGACGAACTCGTCAAGCAGAACGGGGGGGGGGAGTGTGCTACACCGATCCACGCACCGATCCACGTGTCGGTCCCCCTTGGAAGAGAATCATCTCCACGAAATCAAAAGCTGAAAATGTACCACCCCGAGAACATGGCAGACGGTTATGAGGGGAAGATGCCAGGTCCATGGCGCGCGCTGGGCTTGGGGTCCACTTCACCCAGGCCAGTGGCTGACTCGCAATCCTCAATACCTTTACGTGTGTATCCTTCACGTGTTTAAAGTGGAGGCGCATTCACCAACCGAGGGAACACTCCCACGAGGGGAGCCATGTCCAGCTCACCGGCCCAAAATGCCCACCGAGGTATGGAGATCATTGCCCTGTGGCTTTGAAGATCTCCAGACTCGGGAGTGGCGGTCGGACGATTTGAAGACGTACAATGCCCCGCGGCGGAAACCATTCCCATCGATCCCATCGGGGCAAGCGGGGATACCCCCACGTGCGTACCGCCTCTGGCACCATGAGCTTGAAAGACCACACAAGGGTAGGTCCCACGCATTGTTGCCTCGTATAAAAGCTGATGGGGGACAGGAGGACACAAACAGCGGATCACATCAGGGGCGGATCGCCTGGGTGATATCAGGAGGAATCACGATGAGCAGCCGAAGCAGGCGAACGTTGGCCCCTTTCCCGAATTGATGCCCAGGATAAAAGAAATTGGCTGGCCTGGACCACAGATAGGTATACAAGTGTCGTCGTCGTGGTATGTCGACGCCCGATCACATGACCACCGACGCGTTCGCACGGCTTCAGACCCCTGACACACCACTTCAAACGAATCTAGCATTTTCCACTTGAAACAGGCAACTGCAGCAAGCGACCGATCTGCGCAACCCTTTCGCAGAAGAGACAGTATGATGCGTCTTTTCATGTCGGTCTTTCACAGCGAACTAGGGTCAAGGTGGTCTGAGAATCGGAAGACAGCCAGGCAACTTGAATGACGATCCAAAGCTCTGTAGCTTCACGGGCGAAAGGGTGGCACAGCCACCTTGAGACACGGGAAGCAGCGATGTCGAAGAGTCCTGGGGTCCAGTGAACGTCAAATGCTGCGGGTCTTGGCTGCAGGAGGTCCTTCACCCCGCGTGCGTCAGGGAGGGCGCGTTGACGCCCGGTTTTCACTCTTTCGGCCCCCGAGGGTCACGCGAGACGACGATGGTCCGAGGCTTCGAATCCACAAACTTTGGCTCCCATTGACGCACCGCGCTACAAGCCCATCATGTGACCGATACAAGCAATGCAGGCAGCCGGCCGCCGAGCTGCAAGATGTGGACACAGCAGGATGGATGGAAAGCATTGCGGTCACATGACTGAAGGGGATCGTTGGCTCGGGTGCGGAAGCAGGCTGAAGGAGAAGAAGCGGAAGCAGGCTCAAGGAGAAGAAGCGGAAGCAAGGGAACGACTTGGGCCCCTTCCCGGTGGTTGATGGGGTGTTGCTCGACGAAAAGCCGCGTGTAGTGACATGAATGGCTGTCGTCAGGCGAACGATGACAAGCTACCTTACATGACTGGCGAGATGCACCGCCTCGGCAGTGAGCCATAGCCGACTGAACGTTACCAGCTTCCGCGCCTGGGGGATCAGACAAAACAGAAAGGAACGATTGGCAAGAGCCTATGAATGTATGGGACCGCCGATCGCCGTGTGCACTTTTCCACAACCCCACAACCCCGGCAATTGGAATCATCAGGGGGGGCTCCTGGTTGGCAACAGCAAAATGTGTTTGGGCCAAGCTTTCGAGGCAAGGTGCCACGCCATGGGATACATGGGGAGCTCTGTAGTCTGTAGCGTACCAAGGTCTCGCCAGGTCTATATGCCCTGAATCAGCAAGAAACGACGACGATGGAGATGAAGGAGGTGAAGTGGATGAGACGGATCAGTGGCGGAGCATTGATGCATCTGGCGCGTGAGAGTCCAGGGCTGACGCTTGGAACAAAGGTGCCTGACTCTCCGAGTCAGAGAACGCCTTTTCAACACATAGCGCGAGAGCGAAAAGGTTGACAGTAGACACGCAGCAGACCAGGCTGTGGGTCACGTAGGTGCCTGTTTTCTTTGCTGATGAACGTGTGCAGGGAGATCAAGGCCGACGAGTACCGGTGGGTGGTTCTTGAACGATTGATGCATGTGGCACACTTCGGCACCATGATTTAGAACGCAAATGTGCTAGGCTTTCACAGGGTAGGTTTGTTCTGCTTGTATGTTCGGATCGATCTGCAAGGCTGTGTTTGGCGTGGTACAACAGTCCAGACCAACACACTGCAACTTTGGTGTTTTTGCCCGCCTGACTCCCTGCCCAGGCAAGTAGCTCAAGGTACGTCGTGTACCTTGGCCTACATCACCCCATTCTCCCCGAGCTACCTTTTGATTGTCTACCTGTCTGCAGTGAACATGAGCCCGACCAACCATATATCTCTACGTCGCCAATCTCTGGACCCTCATTTCTGCTTGTCACAAGCGCGCACTGGTCCCTTTCGATGCCTCATGCGCGGCACGCCCGGGACGATGGTGCCCAAAGTAGGTAGGGATCTTGGATGGGTAGTTGGTACGCGGGTCGACTGGGTGGGCGACGGAGGAGTGGTGAGAGGAAAGAGAGGAGGGAGAGGAGGGAGAGGGGGGAGGGGTGGGCAGGAAGAGGCAGCCGCCGCCGCAGCAGCCGTCTTGTGTCACAAAGCCATAGGAGGGAGTGGCAGGTTCATCATGGCTAAACAACGGCTATCGTCTTCTACGTAGGTACAGCCCTCCAAGTGCTGACCTCAATTGCGGAATTTGGTCCATCATACAAGAACCCCAGGACCCCAGTGCTCAAGCTCAACGCAGCGCTCCTCCTCCTCGATAACCAGCAAGCAAGACTTCGAACAGTACCTACCTCTAGGTACCTTACTTCAGTCTGTAACACATCAGCGTACCTGCCAGTAGCAGCACACCGAGACCCCCCTCCTCTGGCCTTTTCCCCTCCTCTGGCCATTTTCCTCCTCTGGCCATTTTCCTCCTCTGGCCTTTTTCCTCCTCTGACCTTCCCCCTGTCCTTCAGCCCCTGCCCTTCCGCCCCTCTGCTTGTCCCTCGCTCTGTCCTTCTCACTTTCTGCCCTTGCCCCTCTCCTTTGCCCTTCTCCCACACGCTCCTACACTGCGTCAGGGATGCGCCACGGACGCAGGCACACCACAGCAGCTATCTACCCCATCGAGGCGGACCTCCTCCTCGCCGCCAACCATCTCACAAAAATATCCTGTCTGAACCACAGGTAGAACCCGCAAATAGAAGAAGAGGCATACGCTATCTTCCGTTTGCTGTCTGCTCAACAGTATGCTTATTCCCCGCGGGGCCCTTCCGTTCGTTGCTCGGACTGACGGTGACTACCACTGGCAGTCACAAAAGAGGTCCACTCCGAGCAAGTCCATCAAGACGCATCGACGGTCGCAGTCCAGCTTTCTTGCACCGGCGTCACACAATGTCGTCGGGTACCACCTCCGCCATGTCTCAACTTGGCCCGGCGCCCTGCGTTTGCGACTCGCCGGCGGGCGCTAACAGCCAGAAGCGCCGCTGCTCCCAATGCAACGGAATGTTCGAGGCCCCTGCCGCCATAGACCACAGTCGCTCAGATGAACCGACGGTCCCGGTCGGCCCGCCCAGGGACAACGGCGCCAGCGACTGCGATGCCTCTACCGCCTCGAATGTTTTTTCCGGCCCAACCCTCTACCAGGCCGCTTCCAAGACCAAGGGCAACCGGCCTGGCTTCGAACGTGACGCCAAGCCTGGCTTCAATCGTGACTCCAAGCCTGGCTTCGGGCCTGATGACAACCTGGCCTCGGCCGAACGCGGCAAGTCGACCGTGTCCGCTGAGCGCATGCCATGTCCTCGGCCGACTGATAGCATCGTCGATGGCGGGGGCCTGACTGAGCCCAATCTTGCCTTGCATGAGTTGGTGAGCAGAAACGTCCCCAACCGCCACGACGCTTTCTACCGTGCCTTGGGTATCATCGTCACGACTACCGGCGGGTCTCGCAACCGCACGGAGCTCTCATCTGAGGTCACTACCAGCAGGCGGGGGGTGACCTGTACCAGCCGTCAGGTCACCCCCGTCGGCTCAAGCTGCGGGTCACCGACCAGCGCAGTTCGCGAGCCCGCCTCGGGAGGGATCGCATTCGGCGACCCGTCGACACTGGCCGGAGTTGACGTCAGGGTGGGCATGCCATTGGAGTACCCCAACAAAGAAGAGTTCTTCCGTGACCTCGACGATACCCTCGACGAGTAAGAAAACTGGCTCGACGCTTGTCCAGCTTGCAGGCCTACCTCATCCCGACACTTATTGGATACTCGGCCGATTCATATAGACTGGAGGTTGCCTCTGGTGCCGCGGTATCGAACTGTTGCGTTTCCGTACCAGTCTGTAAAATGGTCAGTCAAGTTTTCTTTCATTCGCCGTGGTCGGTTCGAAAGGTATAGAGGGAACAAAATACTAAAGGAAAAAGAATCCGCTTGGAGTGAGGAGCGGAATAGAGGTGTTAAGGCCGCGAACCGACCCATTATTTACCCGTTTCCTTATTGATGCATGGTCAGGGGTCCGACTGTTTTTATCCCTTTGTGCACGCTCCTCGGTAGATATGAGCCGGGGAATGCGGGGACGCTCTCGGCAATAGGTCGCATTGTTTGGTCTAATCCAGCTAGTGCATCTAGCTAGGATCATCATGGCGATGCGACCTCAACTCCCTCAACGTCCCCACGGCGGAGGCATGGCGCGTCGTGGGCCCTTAGATTTAGCCTAATCATTAACCATCGTTTCGTCACCGGTTCTTGAGCAATATTGCCGGTCGTCCGCCGCGGACCATGCCGTGTCGCGTCTTGTGCGGACAGTTTTCCCGCGAGATTGGCAACTTTCTCCGCAGCGGAAAGTCGGGCAATGTGCGTGTACCAAAGATGGAATGTCTGGACATGCCGGGGGCCTTTATAATCGAGCCCACGTCCGTGTAGCGACGAGCTGGACTGATCTGCAACTACGATCTTTTCGCCGTTGCTCTCGTGTCTGCCCGCTCGTTCACTCGGCCACGTGCTGGCCTCGCCCCCCCTCCTCTTCGTCATCATGTTCACCCTTTCTCTGAAGAGGGCTCTCACGGCCCTGGTTGCTCTGAGCACCCTGACAGATGCCCGGCCGCCGTGTCCACCGAGAGACAACCAGGAATGGGTCACCGTCTGGGGTGCCATGCCCCAGCTGACCGAGCCGCAGAACCTGCCGCCCGCACCATTCGTGAGTCAAGACGGGCCCTCTACATGGGCCATGGCGTGAGACGTAGGCCGGCCGGCAGAAGTGCTAACTCGACGTGCAGAACGAAACGGGACTTGTCTTCAGGGATACGACGATTCGTCAGACGGTCAAGGTCTCGCTCGCGGCGTCCACGATTCGCCTGCAGATCAGCAATGTCTTTGGCGGCTCGGATCTGCCCATCACGGCCGTCTCGGTGGCCTTGCCCTCGGATCCATCGGTGGCCGGCACGAGCGGCATCCAGGCCGACACGGCGCGCAAGGTGACCTTTTCCAATGCAACGTCGTTCGTCGTGCCGCCCGGCGCCCTCTACGTGTCGGACCCCATCACGCTCGAGGTCGAGGCCGAATCGATCCTGGCCATCAGCATCTACCTCGCCGCCGGCCAGACGACCAACGCCATCACGTCGCACCCGGGCAGCCGCACGTCGTCCTGGCTCGCGCACGGCAACCACGTTTCGGACGCGGAGCTGCCGTCACCTGTCCGTACCGACCACTGGTTCCTCATCTCGGCGCTCGAGGCGCGCCTCTACAAGGGGGCCTCGACGTTCGCCATTGTCGGCGACTCGCTCACCGACGGCCGCGGCTCGACGACAAACGCCAACAACCGCTGGCCCGACCGCCTGCTGGCGCGCCTCCAGCTCGACCCGGCCACGAGCCAGGTCGCCATCCTCAACCAGGCCGCCGGCGGCAACCGCGTGCTCAACGACGGCCTCGGCCCGGCGGCCCTTGGGCGCATCGACCGCGACGTCCTCGCCCACAGCGGCGTGCGCTACGCCCTCCTCTTCATCGGCATCAACGACATTGGCACGACGGCCTCGGACGAGGCGGCCCTGACCCTCACGGCCGGCCGCCTCGAGCAGGCCTACGCCCAGATGGCGTACCGCATCCGCCGAAAGGGCATCACCGTCTGGGGCGCCACGCTGACGCCCATGACGGGCGAGGGCCAGGCGTACGGGACGCCCGAGCGCGAGGCCGCGCGCCAGCGCGTCAACGCCTGGATCCGCACCAGCGGCGTCTTTGATGCCGTCGTCGACTTTGACGAGATGGTCCGCGACCCGTCGGCGCCCGACCAGCTGGCGGCGGCGTATGACGAGGGTGACCACCTCCACTTGAACCCGGCTGGCTATCAGGCCATGGCGGACGGGTTCGATGTCACTCTGTTCACGGCGTCGTCGATGGGTACGTCTGGCTGGAGGAGGTGAATTTCGGTCGGCAACAAAGTGGGTTCTGTACCGTGGCGGCAGCAGTCGAGTTGGGATTTTGATTTCTGAGCTTGGAGGAGAGAAAGATGGGACAGATAGCACAGGAGGGCTCGGAGCTCGGGCAGGTTTAGTTAGGTAGAAAGGACGAAAAGGAGAAAACAGTCACCTGACCCTCCGGGTGCCTCACTACCTCATCTCGGAAAGAAGAGCAAAGCCGGAGAGGAAGGTTCGTACACGCTTTGATTCTTCCACACCCTTCCTATGCCCATGTCCTCTCGCCCCGAACGGTAGTCACCATGATGCGAAGCGCGCCACTTAATCATTATAGCCACTTGCTTGATGGTTTGTTTGTTATCAGGGCGTCGGGATGTACGGGAACCGTGCGGCATCTTGCAAACAATAGCGTTGGCGAACTTACACAAGACGCGGCCAGCGATAGGTCCAATTGTACACCTATAGCCATGCTGTGACGCCACCACGTCAACGCGCCTTGCTTTTCTTTGTCGAATCGTTGAGAGCAAAAGTAGCGGTGAGGAAGAATTCTACCAATTCTATCCTATCCCCTTCGTCTCTTCCCGTCTCCCTCGCCAAATAAGACGAGGGAACGCGAAAAGACAGTATGACAAGATAAGATGAAGAAGAAGAAGAAGATAAAAAGTATAATTCTACTGCCTCTCGGAAACAGAATTTTTATTTGTCCCAAAAAAAAAAAAGAAACGCCGCGCTGAACTTGATGGAAGTTACTCTCACACAAACTCTGTAGCCCCTTGCCCCCCTCCCAATGCACTTTTCCTCTTGTGAAACAGTCGTCTCCGGCCAACTTGCTCTCGACTGTCTGTCGTGCAAGATGGCCTGATGCCATGCGTTCGGGGCACTAGGTCCAAAGCATACACGTGCCGTCGGCACCGGCGGACACGCACCACGGCTCGGTGGGGTGCCAGTCGACGTCCATGACGCCGAGCTTGGCGACGACCTTGTGGCCCTTGAGCATCTTGACGGGCACAATGGTGGGGTTCTCCATGAGGTCGCTGACGACCTTGCCGTGGAAGATCTGCAGGCTGCCGTCGTCGGACGCGTCGGCGAACAGAGGCAGGCCGCCGCGGTGGAAGCGCACGGCGCGGATGGCCTCGGGGTGGAAGCGCATCGTCTTGTAGGGGCGCGTCGAGAGGTCGAGGTCGTGCCACAGCAGGCGCCTGTCGTAGGAGCCGACGATGATGTTGTCGCCGCCGGGGTGCACATCGAACGAGGAGATCCAGCGCGCGCCGGGCTGCAGCATCTTGACGAGCTCGACCTTTTGCAGGTCGTAGCAGCGAATCTTGCGCTGCGTCGCCACGAAGAGCAGGGGCTTGGACGGGTGCCAGTGCGCCGTCTGCACGAGGCCCTGGAACTTCTTGAACGGGATCTGCGTGAGGTGCTTCGAGAGCGTGTGGATCGCCACCGAGCTGCGCTGGCCTGTCGGCGACACGGTGCTGAAGTAGTCGCCGCGGCGCTGCCAGCTGATGACCTTGACGACGGCGCGCACCGTCACCTTGAGCAGCACGCCCTGGTCCTCGAGCTTGGCGCCGGGACGCGTCCACTTGGCCGGCGGCTCCTTGGTCGTGCCTGTCGCCGAGGGCTGCGCGCCGTTGGTGGCGTAGCCGAAGCCGGCGTCGATGATATCGCGGCTGGCCTTGTCGATGCCGTCGGCACCGCGCGGGGGCACGATGAGGAAGATGTCCTCGCCGGCCGCCGCCGCCAGGATGAACGTCTCCTTGGACGGGCGCCAGCGGACGGCGTTGACGGCCTCGTCGAGGCTGATCTTGGCCATCCACTCCTGGCGACCGGTGCGCAGGTGCCACAGGCGGACAGTGCGGTCGTCGCCGCCGCTCGCGAGCCACTCGCCGTCGGGGCTGACGGCGAGCGAGCGCACACGGCCCTCGTGGCCGCGGAAGATGGTCTGGCACGCCGTGGGGAAGGGGCGCAACTCCTCCGGGCGGGGCAGCTTGGGGAGCAGTGACGCCGGGTCGATGTTGAGCCTGTTCTTGCGCATGCGAGGCGCGAGGTAGAGATCGAGGCAACGGTTGAAACGCTCCTTGACGAGCTCGCCGTATGCGGGGACCTTGCGCAGCGAGTCAAACTTGGCGGGCATGTACTCCTTCTCCCTCTCCTCGGGATCTTGCTTCAGCCACTCCTCCTTCTCGGCCTGTGTGGGCAGGTACTCGGGTGGGGGGTTGTAGCTGAGGTCGTAGCCGGGGGGTGGCAGCTTGGGCGCGGGGATGTTCATGACGTTGAAGGGTTGGGGCTCCTCGTTGGCCCAGATGTCGTAGTATGTCTCCTCCTTCTCCTCCTCCTCCCTCTCCCTCTCCTCTTCCGGCTTGTATGGCAGGATGCGGCCCTCCTTGATGGCGCGGACGAGCTTGGCGACCCTCTTGGCCTCGTGCTTCGAGGGGACGAAGCGACGCTTTGGCTCGGGAGCAGCGCTCAGGGGCATCTTCTCCTCAATGCTCGTGAAGTACTCGATCGTGTCCTGGTTTCGTTAGTGCGTTGCATACGGGGGATTGAAGATGTGGAGATGCATACAGGATAGGGGTCGTAGCCCTCTTCGGGAACCTCGTTCATCTGGATCTTGCGCAGCAGCTCGAGCTGGTCCTGGGTCAGGTTGAGAGGCTTGCCCGTCTCGGGGTCCGTCAGGCCGGTCCAGCCCTTGGGGATCTCAATGCTGTCGAGCAGGGCGTCGAGAGCCTCGCCGGTGGCCGGGCGCATGATCTTCTTGCCGTTGATGTCGTAGCCGATGTGAGGGTAGGAATCGTAGAAGGAGAGGGGAATGTCGCCAATGGTGTTGGCGGGGCCCTGGGCGTCCGAGTCGTCCGAATCGTAGACGGGATCGATCTCGTCATACTCGTAGCGGACACCGCCATTGGCATCGGTGACAATGCGGTAGCTTGGCCCCTCATCTTCGTCGTCGGCGGCGGAAATCTTGCCGTCCTTGCGCGCATCCTCGCCGTCCGAGGGAATGTCTTCACTCAGGAAACCATCATCCTCGTCCTCGTCCTCTTCGACGTCGCTGCCTTCGAGTCCGTCAAACTCGGCGCTGTCGTTGTCGGAATCAGACCCTTCAGAGCCTTCAAAGTCGGAATCGTCCTCGCCCTCTGACAAGACGCCCTCCAAAGCGACCTGGTTCAGCTCATCGTCGGATTCGGGCTCAGCCTGCGGACCCTTCCGCTTCTTGAGAACCTGCTGTGGCGCCATTGGGTCAGGGAAAGAGTGTGGTGGTGATAGTGGTGATGTTTGGGGAAGGGGGGGGGGGGGGTTCAGGTTGAGGGAGGTGCCTGCATCCAGACAGTGTTTGGCGTTGGCGGTGTTGGTGCGCAGGCAGGTGCACTACAATGCTCGAATGGACAATTTTTTTTCTTTCTGCCGCGGGACGGTAAACGGGGGGGGGAAGCTTCTCTCTGGTGACTTGGCCGCCTTCCTCATTGGGGTCCTATGGTGGGGTTCTCTTGTCGGGAGCAGCGGCCAATGGGAAGACTCCGTAGGTGCTGATGCGTGGCTTTCGTGGGTGGCTGACATAAGGCGCCACCAGTTCGCTGGTGCTGCCGACTAGAGCACCCCTCCCACGGCTTCCAGGACTCCAGGGCACGGGGAGAGAGGTTTCCAGGCGTCTTCTGGCGTACAAAGAGGCGCCTCAGCTCGCTGCAACTCTGGCCAAAACCGACAACGGCGCGGCCGTAGTCTGCTCCAAAACGCAGCAAAACGCAACGTAACATCCGTGAGACGGTCTCAGTTAGGAAAGTTTGCTGCCCGTGATTATTTTTGGTACACGATGGCGTTGGAAGCCGGATGACTCTAGCGGTAGGCAACGAGGGTGTGCCATGGGGATTGGGGAATGACGGGCCGTTTGACGTCAACACCAACTGGTCAAGAACCCATAGAGTTCACCGGACCATCTTTGGGCCCCTACGAGGGACTGAGATGGTGCTTCTATCAAAGTGTTAGGTCGTCGCGAGAGAGGAAAGATGGCTGAGTAATCTGCTCACGTTGCTGTGAATGGCCACCGCTTCAAACATCTACGCCCGGAAGGATTCCTTTGGGCCCCCCTCATCTGACTCCCCTTCCTGTCTGGCCTGTCCTTCGGTCGGCTCTTCTCCTTTCATCCTCGTCTGCCTCACTCATAGCCCCGAATGTCAAGTCATCCGTTCGCTACGTATCCATTCAAAGCCAAGACAGCCATTCAGCCCTAACGCATCGTACCTGCAAGCCGCGTGTCAGCCTGCCCGCTTCAGCCCGACTGTGCTAGCCATCAGGCGGAGCCACGTCTTGGGTCTCGATACACTCGTACATGGCACATGCCGTCGCGCCCTACCTCCACCACCACCAGAACCGCCAACCACTGCCGCTGCTACGTATGCCCTCGACGTGACCGCCAGACTAAATCACCGCTGCCGTCAGCATACGTTATAAACCCGGCCCTCCATCCCACTGTCCCAAGCCGCCGGGTCCCGAATTATTGACATCACCATCTGTTTGTTCGTCTGATTGTCAGGCACACATCGCCCCGCCTTCAGTGTATAGCCACGCCAACCCCCTGATCCTTCGCCATGTCTCAGTCGCCTCCGACAAAGTCCAAGGCCATGTCCAGGTCCAAGCCAGAATCTACGCCTGGCATCGTAAAACACAGAGCATGTGATGAGTGCCGTAAGCCCCCCATCCTGTTGCGTCTACGTTGTGTTCCAGACGTCTGACCACGGTCATCAGGAACGCGCAAGCTGGCCTGCTCGAAGGAGCCCGATGGCTGCTCTCGGTGCCGCAAAGAAGGCATCATCTGCGTCTATTCAGCGCAGAAGCCCATGGGCAGACCACGGAAGCGCCGCCATGTGGAGGATGCCGAAGAGCAGCCATCGGCGATCCAGTCCGACATTGCCAGCCTGCAAGACTCGTTGAGACCATCATCACATGTTCAGCCCGATTCGCTACCGGTAAGCAGCGATCTGGGCTTGGACTTTGCCTCGTTCTACCATGGCGACAATGACTACCTCGTCAACACGGACATGTCGACGATGGACTTTTTCGCTCCCATCGGAGGCATCCCCTCCATGGCGCCCGACTTTGCCAGCTTTGCGATGCCGTACTCGGAACCTCAACTGGCCGCCAGCGGCTTGCAGTTCGGCGGCGTTGACCTGTTAGGTGGCATCAACTTCGATGACAAGGACCCGGCTAACAAACAGGTGTCCGAAGATATTACTACTGACCTGAACTACATCTACTCCAAAGCGCCTGTACGGTTCGCGGAAGACCAACCCGCAGCGGCGCACGACCTTGCGTCCGCACCTCAAGTAGCAAAGTCCCTCCAAGTGCCATTCCCCTACTCCTCTCAACAACAAAACCAGACGCCGAATCCTGAGTCTTCCGATTCTTCGACGTCATCAGCTACAACACCGGCCTCCTCGTCGAGCTCCGACGTCAGCCCCAAGCCTGCCCACAGATCCATCCCCCACATCAACTGCGCCTGTCTTTCCCAGATCTATCTCTCGCTCGACTCGCTGTCGAGGCTCCCCGACGACATTGGCGCCGCGATGCGCGCTGCACGCAACGCCGCCAAGACGGCGCACAATCTCATCACCTGCCCGACGTGCAGCACCCCCTACATCGACGACCCGTCGAAGCAGGCGCCGATGCAGGCCTTCCAGAACACCATGCTCCTCGGCATGCTGATTCCGACCGTCGTCAATGCCTACGTGCGCATCCTCGAGCTCGTCGACGAGGCCACCGCCGAGGCCAAGGAGAAGGGACAGACGCTGCTCTTCCGCTTCGTCGAGTACGGCGGCCTCTGGGGCGAGCTCGAGGCCATTGACAAGTTCACGTGCCGCACGGTCGAGACGTACGACAATAAGGAAATGGAGCCGGACAAGTGGCGCATGACCATTCGGGCGGTGCTCAAGATTGACATTTACGGCTTTGACGTCGACTGCTCGTCCATCCTCGACGGGTCGCGCGTCACGCACCGCCACCTTGGGCTCAAGGACGTCATTGGCCTCATGGAGGAGAGGTCGAACCACCGGCACGATCAGATCGATGCCATGGTCGCCGCGGGCTTGCCGCACCCGATGCAGGGCAACCCGCTGCTGCCGAACAATCACCGCCCGACGGGCAGCAAGGACGATCGGAACTGTCTGAAGATTGTGGAGATGGCGAGGACAGCCTTGGACAATCTGGTGATTGCATGAGGCGTGACCTAAGACTTTTCTCTCTCGAGGGTTGTTCCCTCTAGCAGGCCGGGGAGACATGAAGTGGAGGTTGTCGCTGCGGGACATGTCACGAATGAACGTTAGTAGGCGGACTTGGCGTATTACGATGACGCTATCTCGTGTGTATTGTATGGTTCGGGGCACAGCTATGATATCCAAAGGCAACGTCTAGACTTTTACTCTCTGTTTTTTTGCACAGATACAAGGGCTGAATGCGTCTTCCGAGCAGGCGATGCAGTTTGTTGCCATCTCGTGTTCAGAGGGTCGCATTCGCAGTGCAGCCTAGGCTCAAGGCGGAAAGCCGTTCAGCCATGTACCTGCAGGCGGCGAGACGGTTGCCCCTGAGGAGCCGATGGTGCCGGTTGCTGTGCACGATTCGCAGTGAACAGGGTCAAACGGAGAAGAACCATAATGTTCGGCCCTTGGACTAGTAGCCACATCAGGACACGGTGCCCAGCGATGTTGTCGTCGTTGACCAGGTCTGATTCCAGGCTGCCGTCACCTTGTGACACAACGGAGCCCGAGGGTCGCGAGGAACAGCCATAAGCCGAGCCTGGCTCACGGAAGCCGCGCACCGCATCGGCCGGCCCCCCCTGAGTTGCCCCCCTCCCCCCGCTAACGCCAAACAGCCAAGCGCCAGACGTGACTAAGACGGGGGGGGCCTCGACTGGGGCGTGGTCGTGGCAGATCTGAGATATGGAGCGTGGCAGCTCCGCCCCATGCCCAGGTTGCCAGGCTCTCTCTGCTGACCCGACTCTGCTGGTCATCGTACTTGCCTTTGCCTGTCTCTGCCTGCCACCGTCTCTGCTGTGCCCATGCATGCGAAAGCGAGCGACGACATCGTGATTTCCTTACGTTTCTGCCTCGGTGGCTGACATTCAATCTGCCCTCCCCCCCCCGGCGAGACGTAACTTTCCTTCACCTGCATTACTGTTGCAACCCTTTTTTGGCGCTTCCTTCTCCTACCATCATCCATTTCTCTCTCTCTCCCTCACTCCCTCTCCGTATTCTCTGCGCTGGTCTTCGTTTCGGAACCTTCTCCCACTCATCCAGAACTTCCATTGGCATGCCCATCTGACGCTGCTGTCATCGCCCGACACCCACTCCCCAAGTGGCGTTCACTGCATTCCCCCGCTGGGAGCCTTCTACGTCACCCTGGGCAAACGCGCGTTCTCGACACCTCTTCTCTCAAAACATACCTCATCGGCCCAGACGCTTGGCCCTCTCGATCGACAGATTCCTACTCGGAGAATCCCCTCCGATGGCACCCCCTGCAGGCTTCGCGATAGCCGTCGAAGATGCCTCCACAACCGTCGCCGCGGCGTTAGCGACCCTCGCATCACCGTCCTCCGTCGTCGCCTCCCTCGCATCAGTCGCCGCCGCAACCACGGCGACACCGACATCAACAACACCCACCGACGCCGCCGCCGCTGTGGCCGCCCTCGTCAAGCCCTCCGAGGGCGACTGCGAGCTCCTCGGCAACTTTGCCCTCCTCGTGCAGCTGGCCCTCGGTGGCCTGGCCCTGCTCGTCCTCGTGTACAAGCGCTGGAAGGAGCGCCCGCAGCGGCCCGTCAAGATTTGGTTCTTTGACGTGTCGAAGCAGGTGTTTGGCTCGGTCCTCGTGCACATTGCCAACGTCTTCATGTCCATGCTGACGTCGGGCCGGTTCAACGTCCAGGTCGAGCCGGCTTCGGCTGCGACGGTGGCGGGACGCATGCTCGCGAGCAGGGCCGACGACTACACGCCGAACCCGTGCTCTTTCTACCTCCTGAACCTCGCCATCGACGTAGGTGTCCCTCGGGCATCGTTTCCCTGCTGTGTATGGGTCACTGACATTTGTGTAGACAACCATCGGCATTCCCATCCTCATCGGCCTCCTGAAGGTCTTCACGCTCGGCCTCTCCTACACCCCCCTCGGCAAGCCCGCCGAGTCAATCCAGTCTGGCAACTACGGCAGCCCGCCCAACGCCTGGTGGTGGCTCAAACAGTCTCTCATCTACTTCTGCGGCCTCTTCGGCATGAAGGTCGTCGTCCTGCTCATCTTCCTCGTCTTCCCCTGGATCTCCCGCGTCGGCGACTGGGCCCTGCGCTGGACCGAGGGCAACGAGCAGCTTCAGATCTTCTTCGTCATGATGTTCTTCCCCCTCATCATGAACGCTATGCAGTACTACATCATCGACTCGTTCATCAAGAAGGCCGTCGGTGGCGACCACGAGCGCGTGCCCGAGGAGGACCCCGAATGGGCCTCAGCCAACGCGGCCGCAAGCCCCTATGATGACCGCTCCGGCCTCTTCGACAGTGATGACGAGGAAGACCAGGACTCGGACGCCACGGCCAAGGTGCGGCAGAGCAGCAAGCAGCTGCTGAAGCAGGACGAGCCGCAAGAGTACGACCCCGACCTCGACGGCGATGCCCAGACGATTGTCGGTAGCAGCGCAAGTCGTCGGCACGAGCCGCGGGTCAAGGTGTCGCGGGATCTCTATCCCAGGGAGTAAACGGGCGTCTTTGTTCTTCTCTCTCTCTTTTGTGCACCGTATCTTTTTCCTTTGTTTGACGGAACTGTTTTCTTCTTCGCATAGGACGGCTGCTGTACCAACGGGCTGGAGTCTGGTTTTACTTGCATAACAGTACTGGCGCAACGGCGGGGGCACAAGGGCTCTCTCTCTCTCTCCCATTATACACGCACAAATTATTGGTCGCCATGGACATGGCGGCGTGACAGCCCTCCATTGACGTAATCGCTCTTGACTGTTGGATTGCCTCGTTCTTCTATCTGTGCATCCTTTCACATGCTGAGACATCTTCCCTTGATCTGGCGAGACTTGGCTGCCGTTGCTTCCTGTCAAGCCGCATCGCGTTGACGCCCGGCCATCAGACGTCTCTTGACCCTTGGCGTTTCACACACAGCAGTACACTCTGGAGCCCCGTCGGCCCCAGCCGAGTCCTCCCGAACAAGGGCATCGCACATCATCAACCTGACACGGCGCGTTCATCTCCGCTCCCTCGGCTTCGCATTCGTCAACGTAGACAGGCTACTTACTAGTTCACCAGTTCACAAGCGTCGGCACGGCATTCACGCACAGCGCGGTCGAGGATAGGCAAATATGAAGCGTCATCTTGTCGATTCCGGCCGAGGCCCATCTCACATGTGCCCGCAGACAAGAATCACAGAAAACGTGGGAGGACAGCGGGATCTTCGATTGGATATTGTACCATCTCTAAAGCCCGGGGGGCCATCACGGGCAGCACCACGACTGGCACCTCTCTCCCTCCCTCGAGCGTTTGACAAAGATGTAGGCATGGAAAATGATGAGAACACAAGAAGATGTGAACAAATAAAACGCCACGAGCGCCCTTTCGCCCAGACCGCATGATAGTGTGTGTGTGTGTTCCAGAAGCACGTACAGTCCCAGCCTGACACCAATGCAGGAAACCCAATTCAAAAAAAAAAAAAAAAAAAAAGAACAACAAGAAGAACAAGACGAACACAGGAAAGAAAACGCCGAGTCATATGCCGCAGATGGTGTAGACGGTTCGGAGCGGAAAACAAAAGGCCAGCTCGGAGGACAGACACGCTTGAACTCAAAAGGCAGATGCCCGCTTTACACGCCGCTCCATCCCTGCTGCGCGGGCTGGTACGCCCTGAAGCCCGGGTAGGCAATTTCAGAGCCGCTGCTCTTGGGCGGCCGCTGGTCATGCTGCTGCTGGTGCTGCTGGTCGTCGTCGTAGCCGTAGCTCTGCTGCTGCTGCTGCTGCTGCTGGGGCCGGCCGCCGTAGCCGCCGCCGCTGCCGCCAAAGTCGAAGCCTTGCTGGTGCGCGGGTGACGAAGGGCCGGCGAGCGGCCGGCTCGCGTCCGAGTACTGCCTGTCCTGGGAATACTGCGGGCGGGCGTAGCCGCTGTCGGACTGGGGCCCAGGGGAGCGGCGGAAGCCGGGAGGTGCGGGCGAGGGCTGCGTCCGGGGCGGGCCGTAGGCGCGGTTCGGTGACGGGCTGGGGCTCGTGCGGGAGGGGCCGGCGTTCATGCCGTAGGATTGCTGCTGATCGTAGCTGTCGTTGTAGTCTTGGGCGTATCCGTTGCTTCGAGGGGCGCCATAGCCGTTGTCCTGGTGGGGCGTGTGGCGGCCCTGATTCATGGCCATGCCGGCGGCGACGCCGCCGTAGGCGTGGTCGTTGCCGAATGAGGTGGTCGATTGGTTGTAGCCGTTTTTGTTATCGCCGTAATCACTGTAGCCGTTCCCGACAGCGGCGTAGGAGTCCATGTGCTGACCCTGGCCTCCGAATCCGCCCTGTGCCTGTCCGTACGGCGTGTTGGGCGAGGGTAGGTGCGGGCTCATGGCGCCCGTGGCCATGAGGGGGATGGTAGGGTTGCTCTGCAAGTTGTTCATGCTCTGCGCGGCGACTGGCTTCTTCATCGTATCCATCTCCACGGCTTCCTGCTCCAGCGAGATCCGCTTGGACCCGGCACTCTCCCACGTGGGCATTGCGGGGAGAGCGTCGGACTGTCTCTTTTTTGACACGTCAAACTCGGCATACTGCGGCGGCGATGCAGTGGTGACGCCATGGGAGGGCGTCATGTCGGGATTTGATACGGGGATGGCCGAGGCGAACATGGCAGGCTGTGACTTGTAGCCTTGGCCCGGGGGTAGGGCATGCGCGCCGTATGATTCGTCCAGGTACTTGTGTTTCTTGTCGCCCGGCGCATCGCAGCAGCCGCAGCAGTTGCCACAGCACTTGAGGCAGGAGAAGCAAGTGCAGCAGCAAGAGAGACCGCAGCACACGCATCGGATGACACACCAGACAATCGAGAAGATGATCAGGCCTCCCACTATAATGACGGCAATGACGGGCCACCTATACATGGACAAGTCAGTGAACCGGGTCGAACAAGACGACCTGGGGAGGGCTTATACGTACTTGCACCAGCTGACAGACATGCAGTTGTCCCAACTGGAGAGGGCTGTCCTGATGTCCGTGACCGTGTTCTTGACGTCGCTGACCGTATTGCCGACATTGTTGACGGCGTCTGTGACCTGGCGCTGCTGCAGGTTCTCGGCGATACCTGCAGTAATCGAACCCCACCAGCCTCCCCTCAGGCTCCTCGCCATGGCGACGTCGACGTTCGGCATCGTGAGAGTCGTTAGTGGTGCTGTATTGGGTATGGGCTGTTTTGGCAGAGCAATATTGGTAGTCGGTACGTGTGAGTCTATAGCTCCATGCCCTGAGGAGCGTCAAGAAGAGAATGGCTCAAGTCGCTCGGGGCAGGCTTGGTATGGCGAAGTCGCGCCGTGTCCTGAGGTCGGTTCGTGCGTTTGTTACACGATAGTTCCACCTCGGCCAACGTTGACCGACTTGCGGCAGAATAAGAAGAAGAAAAGAGCGTGGACTTCACGAAACTGCGGCGCTGACAGATTGGAAGTATGCCGTCAGCCAAAAAGGCGTAAAAGAATGTCGCGAGGCGGAGAGGAGGGGGCTTCCCTCTGGCGGTTACCACGAGCGAGGCCTGTTGCGTGGTAAAGAAAGGCGACGAATAGGAGTCGTGCAGGGAAGGTTGGCTCGAGTGGTCGTGGATGGCCCAACACCTGTCGTCTCACAATTCGGGTGCGTGACACTGGGCAGTGCAGTGCAGTGCAGCCGGTCACAACGTTGTCGACTTCGGACGAATGAACTCGTGTCGATCGGGAATGCGATTGATGCTGGCTTGACTATTCGTTTAGCAGCCTGCGTTGTTTTGCGTGAAGCAGAGGACCGATGCTGTAGGTAGTGAGCGAAAGAGAGGTTGCGCCGATGGTTGGCAATGAATGTACAGTCGAAACAACGAAGGGACGGAAGAGAACAGAACAGGCAACGACTGTTCTTCCTCGAGAGGGCTAGGCTAGCCTGAATGCGTCTTGCCTCCTTGAACACTTGTGCCGTCACGTCACAGCGTTGAGGAGCGTGCGAGAGCAGAGACGAAGGGATGCAGAAAGGGCGCGCCAGAAGGGGGCTGGGGGATGGCTGCCTCGAGCCTGCGTGACGAAGCTGAAGGGGACGGCGGCCGGCTGCGACAATTTGATCCCAGTGCCAATGCCCACTGCCAAACTAGCGCCATCTTCCTCCCCCCTGTGGACTGCATAGAGGGCCCTTTTCGTCCCTCCTCTCCCCTCTCGAAACGGGCCCGGCGAGCGGCGAGCGGGGAGAGCATGTGCCTCTGTGGCCCCTGAATCCTGGACAAGCGAGGATTCACGCGGCATACATGGCACCTGACAACCAAGTATGTTCAGTCCCTACCTAGGTAGAGCCTCGTCACAAGGGCCTTGTTTCGTCCGCAAGCAGCCAAATGACGGGAATGTCGACCGCAATTTAGGCACGGCGTGATGGGACGCTGAGAGGACGTGGAGGGGACGCTGAGGGGACGCCTAGGGGGCCGCTGTGGGCCTGTTGTGGGGACTGGCTCATGGAGGATCGTCCGGTCCCTGGATCTCTGAAACATGCCCGATCCACCTTATGTAATGACCACGGCCCCGTCTCCATCCGCGCTCCGCCACGCTTTCACTGGCCTTGGACGCACAAGCACAAGCCACAGCTTGCGTTGCTGACTGACTTCCTCCTTCGGTACCATGTTGCAACGATGTCCTGCAGGTCGCACCTGCAGATCGTACCTCGTACCTGGCCTGGTATCCGGCACTGGACTTGGTCATGTTCCGATCCTTCTGCTTCGGCCCCCAAAACCCATCATCTCGTGTGGAGACTATAGAGCTATTCTCATCGCGGCCCCCAAAATCTGACCTTTGCTACCTAGTCCCCGCCTGCTCAAGTGCATCCATGACATCGACCACAGAGCCAGTGATAAGCTTCAACATGTCGTGCCTGCCTGCCTGCCTGCCTGCCCGCCTACCTCGGCTTCGCCATTGACATCCAAGTCGCGACCTTGGAATTTCTCCTGCTTTGAACCAAACACAACACAATGGACGCCGATCCACAGACGCAGTCCGCCTTCATCACGACCTTGCCAAGAGAAGTGCGCGATGCCATCTATCTCGAGCTGTGGCGCACCAGTGGCCTGCGCCAACACATCCTGTTCCATAGTTACGAGAGCGACTGGAACGCGAGACACTTTTGTCGCTGGGCGTGTACGACCGACTTTTGTGTTGAGAGTCCGCTGCAGCAGGACATCGAGCAATTAAGGCGTGATCTTAATGTCCCCTTCGGCGAGGATATCGAGAAGAATCGAGACCCGAGAGCCACTCTCTATGGCCGACGGATGCAAAGCCCCTGGCTCAACCACTGGGCCTGCGGCGAGCGGGCCGAAAAGGCACATGGGTTCGACGCCATCATGGGGTTCCTCACCTCCCGCTTTTGCTGGAAAGGAAAGACGGTGCCCGGTGTCGAGCCCGAGGCCGCCCCAAACGTCTACATGCCCATGCTTCTATCGTGCAAAGCCATGTATGAACGCCGCCCTGCAAGATAGAGCCCGGCGCTGATGCACAAGTGCTGATATCCCTGCTTCCAGCTCTGCCGAATGCCTCAAGTCGATCTACGAGTCCACGACATTCGTCTTCACCGACATGAAAACGGTCCAGATGTGGTTTGGCTACTGCGCCTTGCCACCGTTCATGCAAGCCTGGCCGAAGCACGGTATCACGCCGCCTGCGTTCTACAAATACGCCAGAAGCTTCGAGCTCTCACTGTTTCCCACGTTTCCTCTCGACCTGCTCTGCGCGACCAAGGATCTCCCCGGGTTGCCAACGCGGCACGCTGTCTACGACTTTCACTGGCTGCGCTTGGACCGATTTGCGCATCTGACCAACGTCAACATATGGATCGAGTCTCGGTCGCTGATGCCTCTGTCCGAGGACAATCTTAACTTCTCGGGAATCAAGCGCTTCTCTCGCGAGGCGCTGCACGAAGCTCTGGCTTGCTTTTCGAGTGTTCCTTCGGTCACCATCAGCACTGTCCTGGGTTCGGGCATCGGCCCAGACGATGACGGCCGCGTCGAGGACATTGCTCCGCCTGGGGTCGCATTGTTCAAGCGCGGCCTTGGAGATCGATTTCACCCGTATCTGAATGCGATCATGCCTGGCAAAGCGCTGGACGGACTTATCCATACCTGTGTGCAGAGGTTGGTCGCCCCTATCTTTTGCCGGATGGCTCGCGACATCACTGACTGTTTTATAGAGAAGTTCGGCTGGCAACCGAAGGTGGTGGTATCAAGCTAGACTAGGCCCACGACTTGTACATCTGCGTGAAAATGTGTTGGCTAGGCCGAGGGGCTTATTAACCGTGTTGTATTTTCACCTGTGTATGGAGGGAGTTCGCGCCGCCCCTGGTGCAGTATTCGTCAAGGAGCAATTGGATCTTCATGAGCAAGTTTTGAAGACTAGCAGGCGCAACTGGTCGGTTGTGAGATCAGTGGACGCAATATCAACTCACACGTCGCAGCGTATGGACGAGCAGAGTGAAGAGGTCTTCCGCACGTGGTATCCATAGTCAATTGATTCGCATGGGACAAGAATACATCCGAATCCTGGCCCTTCGCAGCCCTCACGTACCCGCTCTAGTAGCCTTCAGCCCCTGGCCAGCCCCCACGTCCTGTGGCTCCTCAGGCGCCTCTTGACAGTACAGCATGTATTCCACCGAGCCTTCAAAGCTATGGACATTCAACAGACCTTGCGGACAACGTAACACGGAAGTTCCGGACGTCAGCATAGGCAACGGAGTTGAAACAACGTTGGTCGATGTTCATTGCATGACCACGATAGGCATCGCGTTCTGACTGCACGGAATCCTTGGCGGCACAATTGCCGAGGTTATCACGGTGCCACGTTGACCGTGGCCTACAATATGACTCCGTTGTGAATGGGACATATCGAAGCGATTGCCTCCGTTTGTGTTTACAGCACACTCGCAAGTTGGTTCACAGGGTGTTCGAGCGTGAGATACCGAAACAAAACATAAAACTAAGGCCGCGCGGACTATCTCATCATAGGAAGGCCTCTTTCCAGGTAGGAAAAGACAGCTCCTCAAGTTGCCACGCTGTATATGAGTCCGTGCTCCTGCGAAGCATGAATGATGCATTCCGAGGTCTGCCCTAGTTGGGTCTCTCATTTACGCTTCACCTCGCCGAGTTCTGTGACGATGTACTTCTTGCCCGCAAATCCATTCTCATAAAGCTCAATGAGCGCAGCCAGCATGGCGAACCAGTCGGGGTTATCCGTGAATTTGTCTTCAATGTTGTTGAGCCATCCATAGGCCCTGCCGCTAAAGGAGGCATCCGTCATGGCGCCCCAAGGTCCCAGATGGAACATCTAAGGTACTCGGTCAGCTCTCGCAGGTCTCATCTCGGTGTAGAAAGTCCTGACAACTTACCTCGTGGAACATTGTCTTCACAATGGAAAACGTCAGCAGCCCATCAACGGGACGGGCCCTCCCCTTGATACGATACTCTTGCAACGCATCGCTCCTGGTGTTTTCGGCAAAGAGCGCATCATTCCAGGCGCCCCAGTTGTTCTGCCGCAGATGGTTGAGAAAGGACGGATGGAACGTCACGGAGGCGACAACCCTCAGCTGGTCTTGACTGGGATTTTCAATGCGCCTGGTGACGGCCAGCGGCACGCCTGGTTGCTTCATGATGTCGGTCCACGTACTGGCCTCCTGGTTGAGCATGGTGGGCAGGTCGGACTTGCCCTGCTCTACAACGCCTCTAATGTTGTCTGTCCAGCCGGCATCCTCGTCGTCTGGGTCGACGACAGTCAGGTCTGGCCGACAAGAGATGACCTAAGTGCGAAGAGTTAGGGAACAAGATCCACCTTTTCGTCCTCGGACGTGCTCTTACAAAGTGCTTGTGGTGTTCATCTGTGCCCGCCAAGTCCTGCCATGCCTGCGAATGTTCGTACCTCGCATTCGGTGGGCCGTCCTTGCCAATAGGCCCTTCGAGCTCTTTGAAAAGCTTGAACTTTTCTGCAAACGGCGTGTTTTAGCGAATGGGGGCTCAGATTGACGAGACGCGGGTGGGACATGTGGGCGTGTGGCAAAGCGTGCTCGTCCGGGGAGGAAGCAATACATACCCCTTGCGATTTCCAACTTGGTCTTGTAGTCTTCCCCTGTGCCAAGAAGATTTTCCAAGACTTTCTTGAGATTCTTGCCAATGAGCGGGATGTTGGAGTTCCGAAGCGCAGTCTCGCCGTTGCTCGCCCACTTTTTGGCAGTTTCGACGGCGTTGATGATGGCGTCGGCCGTCGCTGGGTCATCGGCGCCTGCTGCGTCCTGGTCTGTCCAACGACCCTGTCAGTATGGGTTATGGAGCGAAACGCGAATGCAGCCATTGCGCAGAATGAACTCAATACGAGAGGGAACGTACAGCAAGATGAGTGAAGCGTCCATTTTATGAAACCAGCCTCGACCAGAGCGGTGGCTTGTAGAGCCAAGAACGTCACCTGTAAGAGACGCATGTTGAGATGTGGAATACCCCCACGATAAAACAAACTTGGAAGAGTGGCTAATGAAAAGGACTGAAAGCTTGCGGTTTCTGTGCTCACGTATGATCTTGGGCGACTTTCTCGCTCGTGCTTGGAATCGAGGGCTAGTTGCGCTGCTTTTGTATTCTTTTAACTTTGAGGTCTAGTCATCTCCTCAGCATGAGCAGAGACGGCATATTGCCGGCTTGCGAAGGAGATATTCTTAGCATTGCTGTGCCTTGCAACCCCCAAGTGTAGACATCCTGTATGTCCCTGAAGAGGCTTCATTCTGCAAGTTCACGCGTATCCGCTTTTCGTATAAGCCGTCAGAATCCAGGCTCCAAGGCTCAGTCATGGACCCCAGAATCCTTCAGATGGAACGAGGGGGCCGTCGACTTCGTACTATGACGTCTGTAACACCTCCAGATGATCATGTTGCTGGTCACTTTTTCAAGATGACCGTAATCAGATGACTGGATGAAAATAGTGGCAGATCCTGTATGCACATGAACGTGAGAAACGCGTTACCAGTGGGCGGCACGAAACGTTGGTCCCAAATGATGGTGTTCATCGCTTGCCGTCGCCTGCACAGCCTCGCTAATCTGGTGATGGTGTGCTGCGGTGGGTGATGCCTCCTCCTGTGGGGGCCAGCAGCGGCTTGAGTCGGGTGGAGTCAACGGTTGCCTGACTGAACGACCAATGAACAAATCCAAGTACCTGCATCCAGCCGATTTGCCTTGGTGACCCCTTCGTTACCCGGCCTCGGTAGGATTCTGTTCAGCACTCAAAAGCGCCACCCCGTGCGGCCCCTATGCCCGCTCGCGGCGTCTCTGGCGCAGTCTGGGGGCCATAGAGGCGAGCAGCACAACCTGTGGGTTGCAACCTGCTGACGGATCAGCACTGATCCAGGCACGACTCAGCCCTAGCGAGGAACAATTCTGACCAGGATTGGGGGCAAAGTTCTACTATCGGATGACTCGTCGGTCGATGCCAACTGGATGTTCTATACTCGGCAAATCCAGTAAGCATTTGCAGTTTCTCGACTTACACACCTCACACCAAGTTCGTAACTACACCCAAAACTTGGCCATTAGCTTCGTGGGGGCTGTATGATCCCTCAATCTGACGGTCCATCCAAAAGAAACTAGTGGGCTGTGTACAGAACACCTACGTGCCCACATACCGCCCATTTCTAACGCTGCCTGTATGTGTATCGGGCAAGAAGTGTCTATTCATAGATGATCATGGGCCAAGGCTCTTTCGAGGCACATCAGTCGACGGAAATGACATCACGGCAACTGTTCTCACGAAATCCTCTCGTATCAGCTGGGAGGTATAAGAGCAGTCGCCCCAACAGCCTTAAAGTACCTGCATCACAACGGTCCTTGACTTCAGGAAGCAGCCAAGAAGATATCAAACAGTATTCATCATCTCCTTGAGCTTCTCCAAATTCTCCTTTCATTGCATTCACTTTTCTATCAACCATGAGGGCCACGTACAGGGCCGTTGTTAGTTGCGGCTTATGGCTCCATGTTGCGGCCAGTGTTCAACCAGGACCTGCGCTTGCTGCGCTGGCTACCCATAAAGGCAACCTTTATATCCGCCAAGATCCGCCAGCTCCTGATGGGTAATTCAAACACGACAACTGACCGACAACCGTTGCTGACGAGACTCTACAGTGTTCGGGTAGCTGCAGTCATACCCACCGAAGCTGGGCAGATTGGTATCAACCCTCCTGGCCCAGAGCCTACGTGAGTGTTCTTTGCCATGCACATTCGATAACCTTGAGTTGTACGAGGGCTGACATGTCCAAAACGCAGGCCGGTCAACATTGAGGGACACACAAAGTACCTGACTGAAGAAAATGGTTCAACCAAGGTAGGTTGCCAGGCTAGGACAGAAACCACGCTCCCAAGACCTTCAATACTAATCAAAACCTCCATGTCGTAGTGGATCGGCGTTGACCCTTCTCATATTGCCGTCACCCAAGTCACGACCACGAACGCCGCCGGCGAGACCGGGGTGGTGACGCTCGCAAAGGGCATCAGCGCCAGCAAGAACGCCGAGGGCGGTCTTGATATCCTGATAAGTCCCGCCGTCAAGGCCAAGCTTGAGGCTATCGCCAAGGAAGTAACGCCATGTGCAGCCAAGCGTCGGCGCCAAGTTCGGAACCGTAAACGAGGCGGCCCAGCCTGTGGCTTGGCTGACTTTGTGCAACGTGTCGGCGCCGACCAAGAGCTGCAGGAAACATTCGCTCACCCGCTTACGGACCAAGTCTTCAACGACTTTGACGAGGGCTACTCCGGCGACCCTGCCGACGACCCTGGCTGGGAAGGCGATGGCGGTCAGGTCGGCCACGAGGACGAAGGCTACTTTTCCGAAGACGAAGAGGGTTTCTTCGAGGCCGCCGAGGGTGATGGCACTGCGGAGAGCATCGTCATTTCTTCCCCGGAAGAAGCTGCCGCAATTGGTGAGATCCTTTCCGGCGCCGGTGCCGCAGAGGCTGCGGCAGTCTGGGGAGGCTCGACCGTCACAGCGGGCTCGTTCTTGGCATGGCTCTATGGCACCCTCAAGGAGGGCAAGGAGCTGTCTTTTGCGCAGAAGATCCCGGCCGAGAGCGTCCACACCGTCACCAAAACCAAGTCTGAGACGACGACAACTACCTCTTCAAGCTGTGCTGTGCAGACAGATGGACCCGTAAGTTACCGACGATCACCGCTCCTCATCTCACACGAAGTCTTGTCTTACATGTATTGTCCAGCCTGCGTGCGATGAAGCCTGCAAGCCGACCGCAGTCAAACTTGAGGACCCTCGCGTGACCGACATTAACTACTGGGCCTGCTCAGAGGTGAGTGAACATTGTGGGCTACCATGCCCACACGAAACTTTGACGTCTACAAACAAGGTGGCTGACTTGGGGCACTAGGGCGACGGCAAGGGCTGCAAGTGCAGAACCGACGCGAAAGAGATCGCCAGCTATGCGGACGGCGAGTTCATGCAACAGATCCTCGACGTCTCGGGCGTGCTCAAGGACAAGCCACTGCAACCCACCATTGAATGCCCCAACGACCTCACCAACGTCCCGAGCAAGTATCTTGTCGACAAGACGTCGGTCGAGTTCTGCAAGGACGTCATGGGTGATCTCGGCAACGAACGCCTCCCCGTAGCGTACGACATCCACGGCAACAAGATCCCCATCCTCAGAGCCGCCGTCGCCGCGGCGGCGTCCACAGACCTGACGGCGCGATGGCTCGGGAGGCGGGCCCCGCCGACGAACCCCGACAATTATCTCGACTACCGATTCTTCCTGAGCTACACGCCCGGGGGCGACGACTGCCTGGTGCCCAAGGAAGACCTCTGCAAGAACGCATACGAGGCCCTGGTCAAGAGCAACTGTACGTTCACCCGTCTGCCTCCTCCTGTCCCCGCAGCTCGATCCATGCATGGCGCCTAGCCGCAGACTGCTAACACTGCTTCTCCAGGCGGCACCAACCACGGCTCGGTCGGCGACATCATGTTCGCTGATTCCTCGATCGACGTCGGCTGCGGCAAATTCGCCTGGAAGGTCGAGAAGATGGCCGAGCCCGAGCCTCCCGAGCCCGAGCTCGAGGTGGGAGAGCGCCAGTGCAACGACGGATACAGCCACCACGACGTCCACAACGACCAGCAAAAGTTCTGGTCCGAGACGTACTGCAAGTGGACGGCGGAGGGCGTCACTCTGAAGAAGGGAGACGACAAGCTCAAGGAGATGTACATGCACCCCATTGGCCCGTACGCGGACCTCCACCAGAACTTCAACGTTTCCTGGGTCGAGGGTTGCGAGCATGCCGATGGGCAGAAAGCCGACTTCCCCATCCCCGGAGATGACAGTGTCACGTGCAAGTCCCTCATGAGAGACCTTTACGTAGAGTGTAAGTGCATCCGCGAGGAGCAAAACTGCGAACAGTTCGCTAACATGGCATGCGAACAGGTCGCACCAACGGAGGCGCAGGCGGGACCATTGATGCCGGCTGTCTGAGGTACCACTTCTGGCCTACAGAGCAGTGAGAGAGAGAGAGAGAGAGAGAGAGCGCGCGACAGGTAGACTTCGAGCACGATGGGGATAGTGTACCTCTAGGTAGTGTTGCAGCTCGGAGAGAAAGGAACCTGAGGATCAGCTGCTGGGGTAGCCCCAGCGCCGATAGAGATGACGATGAATCAAAGCGTTTGAACCATTCCTGCCCTTCCAAAATCTGTGTCGATTCGACTCTGCAAGTTGAAGAGAGGCCAAACATGACGCCTTGTGCTCCATTCCATCGAGGGCTGAGTTCGCGCGGCGTCGTTATTGCTTCGACCTCAGTTCGATTTCGGGCCACATTCGAGCACGACAATCTGTGATCCTTGCTCGCGCGATGATCTCGTTGCTTTTCTCCAGCCTGCATACAAGTGCCGCTGCCAGATCGGCAGCGCAAGGTAATTTAAGCCCCCACCTACCCGGCAGAGGTGATAACCGACGGCAACGCGAGGACCAGGGGATAGCGATTATGCCGATGTGCATATTCAGGGTAATCAATCGAGTGGCGCATGACACGTATAATTGGTACACATTACTATTCTCGTCAACATAAGCCCATCGCAGGGAAGAACATCTATCATCAAGCATGCCACTACCCGGCGATAGCCGCGCGCCCAAAATATCGCTGTCGCCATGGTAGAGCCGTCGTCCTCCCAAAAGAAAAAAAAAGGTCGATCGCGCGACGACGATAGGCGTCTGGTGAAGACGACAATCCCGCCATCAAACAAGGTATCATTTGCTTTCCCTTTCCGGGCAGTCACGCAGTTTCGCACCTCAGCTGGCTGACGTCCTCATCAGATGCGCACCAGCCCAGCCTAGGCTCGCGCAGGACAAAGATTCAGTGACCGCTTCACGCCTTGGGAGGTGGCCCAGAGGGCGGCGCAAAATCATCGACGCCACGGTTGTACGTCTGCTGGGGCTGCTGCAGCTGAATGTTGTCGTGATTGCCGTAGTAGCCGTCGTTCTGGTTAAAGGTCGTGCCCGTGTGCTGGGGCTGCTGGCCGTACGCCGGCGGCGCGTTGTAGCCCTGCTGACCGTAGCCGTACTGCTGCTGACCGTACTGCTGTTGGTTGTAGCCTTGCTGGTTGTAGGCGTGCTGGTTGTTCTGGTGCTGGTTGGCGCCCCAGCGGTTGTTGGTCATCCAGCCAGTGCCGTACATGGGGGTGTTGCCCTTTCTTCTGCGCTTGCGGGAGCTGAAGCAGCTGTTGGATCGGTTAGCTCATGCGCGCTGGATACGGATCGGGGCCAGAGGACTACTGGCGATGAGAGAGAAAGAGGCAGAAAGAGAAACATACCCAAGGGCGCAGAGGATGAGGAGGAAGACTACGACGAGAACGCCGGCGAGAACCCAGCGACCCCAGTAGTACCAGCTGCTGCGATTGCGCGTGTAGCAGCGGCCATTTCTGTAATATGTGCCCGAGGGGCAGCCAAATTGCCTGGGTCATGCATGTTAGTATCTGTCTGGAGAATGCACTCGTCAACAACGGCAGGCGACATACCTCTTGACGAGCTCGTCCTCAGCAGGGAAGAATGCAGCCATGGCGATGGGGCGGTATGGTTTGTGGTTGATGTTGTTGTTGTTGAAAATGAACAGACCGGCTTTGATCAATCTGGCGATGGATGACGGATAAGGCAGAGAATGATGCCAAGGGCCGACAGGGATCAGGTGCGGTGCAGAAAGATGCCGGTTTCAAAGGGTGTTCGGGTCGATGACGTGGTGGGGGAAGTACGGGTGGCACCTGAATGCGCCGGATCGAGGCGACGCCGCAGTTCTTTGGTGGACAATAACGCTGTAGCCCGCGAAGCTTATTCCGGTGCGGTGAATGCAGGACCTGCAGGCTCGTTGTTGGGTGAGTGCTGTAGGTCACGTCGATGACTCGTGATGACTGACTGAGCCGTTGTTGCTGGTTCGAATGGTAGTTCAAAATTGGGAGGGGAGGGAAAGGGAGGCAGAATTCTGGGCGAATGGGTGGCCCATATGTATTTCTGCGTCAGGCGACATGGCCAAGCGCAAACACGACGTCGTCGACTGAGCCCTTCTTGTCTGGGCATGGGAACGAACCCGGACCACCGACGGCGAGAGTCAGTGTTGGGCTTGGCTATGGCTTCAGCGAGCTGGTTACGTGGTTGCGTGGCCGAGCGTGAACGATGGAGCTTCCAAAGGTACTTGCTGATTGGCGGGCTCTCGTACGCGTAATGGAGGTACCGATACCTGACCAGGGTGGCTGAGCAGCTGAGCGTCCCCTCCGCTTCTCTGGCCGCGCCAACTCACATCACCCCCGCCGGTCATCACCAGGATTGCCACATCCGGCCAGGCGCTGATCGTCATGGCTGTATGGTGGTGGATGAACTGGAGGAAAGCAGGCAGTCCCTGCCCCTCACGTTACCCTCCCCCCAGTTGTGCGACCACGTTTTGAGGGTCGTACGAGCTCTCTGTCAAGCTTCCTGCTAGCCCACGCTGTCGGCACACTGTTGTACAGTGGTGCCCCAAGGTGCCCCAAGGTGCCCCAAGGTGCCTACACTAAGGCTTCGTACCTTGCCTCCGAAGCTTTCTCAACGCCCCCCCCCATGACCGCGCTGAGCCACCAGGCCATGACCACATCCCAGTGCCGAGAGCTCTAGCACGCGCCTCCTGTCCAACGCGATCAAGCTCCATATGGAGCTACTAAGCCCAGATTACGACACCGCTAGTCTGTGCCAACACAACAAGGAACTCAAGTGCAAATAGAGTACCATTGCGCTGGACATTTGTGCCGTTTCTGCCTGCGATGTACCAAGGGCTTGGGGTAAGAGCATCTGTTTGAGATCGGCTGTGCTCTGAGCAGGAAACATAGCGGACAACCAGATTTGCGCGTTTCCGCCACCTGGGAAAAGATGGCCGTGTGTGTGACTTTCATGTATGCCACAGTCCGTCAGATTTCCGGCATGTCTTAAAAGACGGGTCATCGGTACTGAGCCATCCATCATGGTCGATTGCTCCGCCACATCGACCACTTCCTCTGAAGTGTGCAGCCTTTGCTTTGATCGCCCCAATGTCTTCCTTGTCCCGAGTCACCGCTACTGTTGCTGCCTGATGATTTGACTCGAGCCTCGAGTTCGACTCTCCAGTATTTGTCATCTACAGCCACGACTCCCCAGGGCAAAGCTCCTCGATGGTGTATTCCTTGTCATTCATTAGTTAGGTGCTAAGGATGTCATGGCGCTGTAATTGGTTCCTGTGAATGTGTCCCTTGTTCCATGCACGCAGCTTCGCCGTCCTTCACCCGATTTCCCTGCTCCAGCATAAAATCCATCACCGTGCTCCCCGAACCCTTTTTTCAACCCTTGCAATCCTCTTGCAATGAACGTCAGAGTGGAGAATCGTCGCGTGGCCGGCATTCCAAGCCATTGCCCCCATTCCCATCGCCGGGGACCAAATGCCGTGTCGTAAAGCCTCTCGTGAAGGCCTCCATCGATCAAAAGACCATAGCTCCCCCGTAATGTATGTGTCTCGAAGAAGAGAGAATGACCGCGACGCCCATGTGGTGTTTTTTTTCTTTCTCAAGGTGTGTTGTCTCGAATCCACACGCCCGAGTTCCTGGTCATTAGTGAAAGAAATAACGTGTCCTTGCTCCGAAAATAAATAAGAAAAGAACGCCTCGTGTCCCTGATCACCACCTCGGTGCCGGGGAGGGAAATGCCCCATGTCCTCGTCGCCCAGCGTGCGCACATCACATCACTTGGGATACGAGTAGCGCGGAGGGCCCTTGTCGGCCTCCCTCTTGGCTCCGGCCCCGGCCTGCGCCTGCGCCTGCTGCCGCGCCGCCAGCTCGGCAATCTTCTCGCGCGCCTTCATGAGGCTGCTGTTGTCCTGCTGCTTGAGCTTGGCGCGAATGTCGTACAGCGCCATGAGCGTCGACGCGCGGTCGAGGTCGTCCTCCGGGTCCGAGTCGCGCCGCGGCGTGCCGGGGACGGAGCCCTGGGCCGAGTTTGTGCGCGTCAGGGGCGGGCTCATGAGGATGCGGCGGCCGAACTTGTCGTGGCGCGCGGGGCCGGTGCCTGCGCTCGGGGAGGCGGAGCCCGTGTTCGTCCGCGGGATGGCCTGCGCGGACTGGGCGCGGCGGAGGTCGTCGGAGGGGCGGCGCGGGGCGGCGAGGCTGTGGCGGTCTTGTTCGACTTTCTGGATGGCCTTGTTTGCTGTGACGAGGGCGGCGGCAGCGTTTGGTTCCTGCACAAGGCGAAGAAAGAAAGAACTTGTCAGCTCTTCCGATGGTTGATGCCAGATTTCGCCAACAACAAGTGTGCCAAGCGGGGGTGGGCACACGACATCACCGGGAGAGAAGGGAGGAGGGGTGGCTTACCGCCGCGTTCAGACTGCTGAGATCAGCCAGCATCTGCGCCATCTGCAGGCTTTCCATGGCTGGCTGTGTGTGGTGGTTTCTGTACGGTGAACAGAGGAAGTCGTTCGTGTGAACTTATCTTTGATCGGGGGTGCGGTCGCCGTCGCTGGGTGCACGCGCTGCAAAATGTGGACAGCTCGACAGCTTGATGACGGAAGCTTTTTGGACTTTCGTCGCCCAGAGGCCAGCAAGAAGAGACGGGGTAAGGCTCTGGATCCCTTAGTCTAATGTAAAGCGGTGGATCGGACAGAAAGGAGAGCCCACTTGGCCGTGGTCGCGAACCCCGCTGGGCTGCGGGAACAAGGAAGCCAGCCCTCACAGGGCTAATCCCCTTGTGGCAACTGGGTTGCAGTGCCCCCCACACGAATTCTGCCATCCGGGAGCCTCGACCCCGCCTCCAACCTGTGCTCTGGTCGCGACCTGCGAAATCAGCCGCGAACGGGCCACACCCTCTTCGCCTCCGTCATGGGAAGACGCCAACGAGGAGTCGTCGAGGTGGAAGGAAATGACGTGTGTCAGGCGACTTCATGCGGCGACCTTCGTATGTGCCACCCCGTTTTATGCTGGCACTTGGATCAAGTCACCTGGAGAGCCCCTTATCTCGCTTTCTTGCGTTTAGCACAGCTTGCCCATTCAAGCAAAGCATTCAAGTACTACTACATGTATCGAGCGAGTCAACTTTCAATGCAGGGTGCAGCTCCACACGCACAATCAATCTTGCATGTCTTAGACTTGCTGATGGGATGAGACGAAATGCGCCCAAGGTGCTGGCCACTGTGAGTGCAGGTCTCTCAGCCAGTCTCTCTGCCGATGGCAAGGTCCAGCTACACCTGTTCCATTACTAAGGTGCACCGCCTTAGTCAGCAAATGTGGAAGTCGCGATTCATCCTTCTCACTCACAAGACCTTCGATTGCCTCGTCAACGGTAGAACAGGAGACTGCCGATCCTCCAAGGCTTGCGGGAGCATCGCAAGTGGATGTGTAATTAAGAATACCATAGCATTGTCTGTCACGAGCTTAACGTCTTTCAGCCGCATCGTCGTAGCCCAATTCCCAAATCCCACGTTCGGCAATGGTACCGATTCCTCGGACCGAGACCCGAGACCCACGCAGACCTCCGAACCAGGAGCGTGTTGTCGGTTTGTTGAAATACACTCTCATGTCATGACCATCGTCAACAGCCTCACTCATCGCCACTCCGCACCTCAACCATGTCGCTCCTGTTCAAACGCTCGATGGCTACGGCCTCTTCTTTGCGGACAGCCGGCAAGGTTGTCTGCGTTGGCCGCAACTACGCGTAGGGCAGCCCCCTTCTCCCTTGCCCCGAAACTCTTTTCCGCGAACCCGGGGCTAATGTCATGTGCTCAGCGACCACATCAAGGAGCTCAATTCGGCCAAGCCCAAGCAGCCCTTCTTCTTTCTGAAGCCCACATCCTCCATCCTCCTGCCCGGTGGCGGCGCCATCCAGCGGCCCAAGGGCGTCGACATGCACTATGAGATTGAGCTCGCCGCCGTCGTTGGCAGGCAGATCCGCGACTTTGACCCCAACGACGAGCAGGGCGCTCTCGACGCCATTGAGGGTCTGTACACCCATGGAGACCCTCTCATGCACCTGCCTGCTAACAGTTCTACAGCGTACGCCATGTCCATCGACCTGACGGCGCGCAACGTCCAGAACGAGGCCAAGAAGAAGGGCCTGCCCTGGAGCATCGCCAAGGGCTTCGACACGTTCCTGCCCATGAGCAACATCATCCCCAAGGCCTCCATCCCCGACCCCCACAACGTCGAGGTCTTCCTCAAGCTCAACGGCGAGACGAAGCAGGACGCGTCCACGAACCTCATGCTCTTCCGCCTCCCCCGTCTGCTAGCCGACATCTCCAAGGTCATGACGCTCGAGAAGGGCGACATCATCCTGACGGGCACGCCTGCTGGCGTCGGCCCTGCGGGTCCCGGCGATGTCATCACGGGCGGAGTGCGCGTCAACGGCAAGGAGCTTGTCGAGGGCAAGATTGAGTATGCCGTGGAAGAGTCGACGAGCTCGTACGAGTTCAAGGAGACGTGAGAGCTATGAGCTCAGGATGTTTGACACCCCCCGAGAGCATCCCCTAATCTGGTCTTTTTCTTTCACGAGAGACAAACGTATATCAATGTATACCACGAT